TAGTCTTTATCGTAAAAAGCCAAAAGATAGTTCACAGTCTGAGAATTATTTTGATAAAAAGAAGTAAAAGACAAATGTTCTTCTTATTGTAAAAAGTGACAATTGTTTTTCCAAAACGAGCTTCGCACACTAAATGTCTCGTGAGATTTTTGATTTTATTTTTCCGAAATCTCCGTTAACATTCAAATTTTCTCGGCGATATTCTTATCGTTTTTTTCTCCAATGGCGTAGAGCATATACCCAAATTTGAGGCTTAAAATATTTTGTTGTTCCTGAGAAAAACCACTTTTACTAGAAAAATGTCCTGTGAGATTAAAATGACAATATCTTTATGAATAAAAAAGAGAATTTCAACTTATTATACACCATTCGATTCGCCGAAATACTGTCTGAGATGCACGTGAAAAATTTTCATACTCTTGACAGCTTCACCAACTCGCTCTCTCTTCTTACCTACCCGTAGTAAGAAAATATTTTAGTGTTTAATATGTTTAAGGAGGGTCCACATCCACTATACGTGCCCTCAAACTATGTCAGTTTGAAGAAAACACCTGATTACATATATCTTTCAGTTTTTTCGGTGAACTGATAACTATTCATAGAGTTATTAATTAATTAAGTCTAATTTTAATTAAAATAATTCTAACTACTTGTAAATAATAATAGAAAAGTCATTCATGCATTGTTTGATAGCCCATGATCTATTGTTATAGTCTTACGAAAACAGTTTTAAAAACTTTTTTTAAGACAATAACTTATAATTAACCATGCTAATGAATACTAATTAGTATCTCTTTGGTGCCTTACACTTTTATTTGCAAACTAACGGTTTATTAGAAACTGTGAAGTAATACGTTATTCGACAGATTTCCAAGCGCTATAAATTCTTGTATTTGCCTTTTCAAAATGTTACCCATATCGATTTTAGGCAAACGGAGTCGGTTAATCAAAAAAACTATAGAAAGGTTTACATTCGGTACAGTGCCCAGTTTCTCGACCTTCACTAGACACGAAAATTTTCAGTGTCCGTTATATGCGAACGATATCGGATTGATGTTTTCTTATTCCGTTTTTCATGCTAAATACGAAGAGAAAAACCGGAAAACTATAAACCATAAAGGAAGTTCGAAAAATCACTTGTCTTGTACAAAAATTCATTCATGCATATAGCTCACATAGAATACAGTTCCGCATTAGAATATTGTGTCAGATCGTGTAATTGATAATAGAAAAAGAAAATATGTTCTATACGGTACATATATAATTTTATTTTCGTAAACAAATTTTGAAATCTTTACCGAAAGCAGGATTTTGAGAGGATCTTTAAAACTACTATTGGCGCCAAAATACAATGAACTTGATTATTTTTTGAATAACGTGTCATCAGCGCACATACTCATATAACTATCTGCCGTAAGAGTATCATCTTTACCTCGATCGAACGCGCATATCATCATCCACACACCGGCTCCGGCTCCGACCCTGAACTAAACGCTCCCGCGCCGGAGCTGCCTCTGTCATTTTATAACCGACCCCTAACTTGAAGTTGAAGAGGTCGGGACGGCCTTATACAGCTCTATTACAAACCAAATTCAAAGTATGTCGGGGTGGTCTTACGAGGGAACCTATGGAGATGAAGCACTCCGATTTCGTTCGTTCTTGCGTGGATCGATAGGGCATGTGGAGTGGGTAAAAAGCCTAAGAGGGTTCGGGCGGAGACTTTTCCCTTGGAGAGTTATGGGCATTTTACGCATTTTCTCACGCCAGCGGAAAACAGGCAAAATTAAAAAAATCACAACTCTGTCCAGGAAAGTCGTAGAGGGCTGAAAGTTTTTTTGGTGGTGAGGATAAAGATTGTCTTCATATCCTGCAAGTTTCAGAGTTCTATCACTTTCTCTCATTCAGAGACAGAACTTTCCATAAAGGCAAGGAAACGTCATGAGAACACTGCTTTGTCTGTCTTACACTTTCAAATCTGTTCTGCCAAATTCACTTCGATGACTCGATATGCGTGGTATCAGAGCGGCTATCTGAAGAATAATCCAGGACCATTTTTCAACGTCGAACAGATTTGTTTCTCGTTCGACAGTGATCGCTGTCATATCAGTAAGTGTACGAATACGACATTTATCCAGTGTGCCTATTGTTCGAAAGTTTGTTGTTTCTCGCATTTTTACACCAGCTACCACTATCATTAAAGTGTAGGTTTTTTC